GGAAAGAGAATGTCGCGTCCGACTGAGATCATATGTAGAGATCAACAGAGCACGGTTATTGATGTCATGAGTATGGAGGGCTGTGATGATAAAGCGTTGAGGGAGAGAGACACCTGGTACGTCTTCGTTTTCGTATCATGAGTTCCGTGGAAAGGTGTGCTCTGATATCCGGATTTGTTCGATGTCCCTCAACCAATATCACGTGTGCCTCCCTGGCTGGGTATCATCCAGCGTAGAAATCTTGTGTCAAGCACTCATGGCCAGTGCGCTTGACGTTGTTACCTGTCGTTATTGTTTGTGAGAAGTGTATTTCCGGAGGCAGATTAGATGCATTTAGCAACTAACAATTTATTTAGTTAAAACTGTTATGGTCTCATGTCAAAGGTGATATATCAGTTAGGTTGTCGTCATAGTATATGAGAGTTGTACGTGCCCGTAGAATCCGTATAGCGGCACTTCTGGAAAAGTGTGAGGTTGTAGCTTGATCCTTAGTTAGACGTTTACTTATGGTGCAGCTGTAGTAGTGGTATTTCGTAAATGGATCGATGAAACGTATTCTGAGACTTATAGAATGAGGCGTACGTTCAAGCTCACCCAAGAGTGAGCGTCCGAATGAATATACTCGGGCAGTTATCCGTCATAGTGTTCACTGTACGTTAGGACGGTAGAGTAGTATATTAATTAGGGGGGATAAGTTCAGGCGGTCAGGGGTGTATTCACCCGTAGTATCAGGCGCAGTTATAATAACAAAGTAGCATATTGGTTGGGGGGAACGAGTTCAGGCGGTCAGGGGTGTATTCACCCATAGTATTAGACGCATTTGGTGACGAGGAAGTAGTATATCAATCGAGGGAGATAAGAGGAAAAAAGAGGTGTCACCTGCTGTAATTTAGAAAGGAGACTCACCTGCGAGAAAGTGAAAATATAACTTAGATGTGGTATGGTAAAAAAAATATGACTCACCTGAATATATCAAAATTTAAGACTCACCTGTGGTAAAGTAAAAAGGGGAGACTCATCTGTGATAGGATAAAAATTAGGACTCACCTGCGAGAAATGAGAGATAAAAAAAACTATATGTGTATTCACAGGTGGTGTTCAACGGATGTTAGAACGAAAGGGTAGTGGCTGAGTTAGAAGGTTGGTTGTATTTAGTTATTGTGATATGTTTATGAATGAAGTAAATATTGTAAAAGCACTTGGAATAAGACTGTGAAGAAACAAAAAAAGGGACTTGCCTGCAGTGGGGGAAGAAGACGTTGACGTGACCGTTGAATACAAGTACCATGCCGTTTGTGTCATCTGTGTCAGGGAAGACTTGAATACTAAGCAGATGCAGGGTTGGCGTACAGCAGCAATTATTCGGTAGTAACTCGTACCCGGCTTGGGATTTATCAATTTCGCGATGTATTGTGGGGGAAGTATTTAAAATGACGATGCGATATCCCTCTATTTATGGAGTATAATTTTAGTTGTGAGAAATTGGCTTGGACGCTAAAAAGTGCCGCGAAACACTTGCTTAAACGTTTAAAAGATATTACCATTTTCCTCTTATGTGTGACTTTGTGTATCTGTTTGACCATAGCTTTCGCACAGAGATGATTGCCTCTTGATTAGCCTCTTATAGTAGTTGGATGCATAGGAAAGCTCACCAAGCTTATTATTATTATTATTTTTTTGTGTTCTTTCACTTCCTTTAAGTACGTATTCTGTGGATAGTGGTATGTGTAAACGGGTCGTAACGTGTAGGTTTGTATTTACGTAATGTGTACATCTTATTATATGCGGGCGGTTCGTAGATCTTAAGGTGGCCGATGCACCATATTTTGGGGTGCATCACGTCCCAATAAGGTTTGGTGGTTCGGAGTGGTAGCTTGCCGCGCACACTTTAATCTTTAATCTTTATTTAACATGAATAATAAGACATTACAGATAACAGTACTTATTGCAATAGACTATGCCAGGATAGTAGCGCTCTTGCTGCCGACAGGTAGTCCTCGCGTAGTTATTCTTGTCTTCCTCGTAATTTCACAGTAGTGTGCCTCGTCAGCTTCCGCCGGGGGTCCGCCGGCCCGCAGTGTGTTCTTGTCCTGTTAGGTTAGCTGAAAGTATCGTATTCGTATAAGCATTCTCTATTATATTACATATGTATTGTACCTCGTATTGTATTCGTCATTGTTGAGAGGAGAGAGAGAGAGACTAAGAAGAGCCCGCCGATCGCGGAAGACGAAGGTGTCGAACTGAAGCCTAGCTCCCCTCTGGCACCGGTATTTATTGGCTCGAAAAAGGGCGGTACGGCCAAACCGGTTCTGGGCGGTACAAGTCCCGCCTCCAGGAAGGGCCGTATGACTCATTCTGCGTTTGTGGAAGTAGTGGCACTAAAAAGTGCTAGGGGTGCCTCATCATTATCATGACCGAGGGTCATGACACTCCGCACAACGACAACAGTCATAAAGATCCTGTCTCCGTATTTTGCCTTTGGCATCCTCCCCGCCAGCGAATAAGAAGGTAAGTATTGTTATGGTGTAGTGTGGAATCAAGGAATCGTGTGAGCAAGGTGCAGCAGGGCGTATGGGGAACTAGCACATTCGCATATTTCAATAAGGGCTAAAGAAGCAATATCAATCTAAAATAAATCGAACAAATCTAGAATAAATCTAGACAATCCTACGGATATGTGATTAAAAGGAGAGTACTATATGAAATTGAACAATCGAGGGAATACAAATACTATGATGACATAGGTGTTGCTTGCGTCCGTGGTGTGGTGTCGCTGTGCATTCGAGAGTGACGGGTGCGCGATAGGCGTTGAAAGTCGACGGTGGCGTGACGAAGTTGACCAGATGAGTGGAGCGACCATAGAGGTGTTGGAGACGTCTTCTGGATGTATTGGGTGTTGCATATTGTTATTGTAACGGTAGAATTACTGTATCAATGTAGAATGTGTTTGCACAGGATACGAAAGGGAATGCGTATCAAGGTGATGGTAATGGAGAAGATGCGTCGAATGATATGAAGAAGGAGAAATATTATGCGGAATGGTGGTATATATGACAGTAGTTGAGGGATTGAAGTTAGTGTGGCCTTTTTTTGCTTATAATTTTGTGAACAAAAGATATTGTTGCTCATCATGAGGGCACTAATGAGGATAAGTAGTGTCGTCAAACTGTAAATAAAGAATTGCTTGCAGGTATCGAGGAAGTGTGATATGTCTGGAAATGCGAATTCAATATTAAGGGAAGCATCGGTAGAAGTATTTCGTGTCCAAGAGTGGATGTAGTTCCATAGCGGTTTGAAGCCGTTCACGTAATTGAGTGTTCCTTGCAATTCGAAAATCGTGATGTATGTTCCGCATTGTGCTCTACATGTTTCGTAGACGCGGAGCCTTGTTGAAGAATAAAAGTACTTGATTATGGGTTCCTTGTTTTGTACACGTCAAAGTGAATTGTTGGAGGCCACAGGTAATTTGAGCAGTGGCGTGCATTACGTCTGATTCGCAGAAAAGAGTTGCTATTGAGCCCTTGACACAGTTATAACAGCCGAGCAGTTGTTGGGGCAGTATTCGGCACTGAAAATTTTGAAATTCCTGTGTGATTTCTTGCAGGGCATGGTCGAATGTAATTGCTGTCTGTACTGAGACTACTCGTGTAGAGATTGTAGGCACACTGTTCATGCCTTGTACGGATACTAATCCTTCCTGTATTGGTAGAGGAAAGGTGTTCTGTAATTGTGCTAGTCGTGAGACATTGTTATTGGTACAATAGCAGCTAACGGAGTCTTCTGCAGGGTTGCAGTTGACATGTGTCTTTAATTATACAGTTGGTATGGTTGTGGGTGTCATGGGTATGATGTGGGTGTGAACTGCATGCATAGCTGAATTCCGTGTCTTGAAAACACTTTCAGCGCATCAATTCGTTAATCCTCACGTGTAACACAAAATTGTAAGCAAAACCCAAGAGTTATTCTTGACGTCCCGCAGTGGCCATGAGGTGGTGGATTTCACATTGCATGAGCAATTTTATGTCAGCCGATATCTGGTTGATTTTCTCATTGACTGTATTGAGTTCGTCACGAAGAGAACGGATCTCATTCACCATATAAACCTCGTTTCTCTGAATAATGGATTCATAACGGTGAGGAGTGGTGGGTCTTATATCGTATAGTAATAGTTACCTGTATTATTTGGAGTGTTGCAATAGCTTCCGTAATGATATGGTGAATGCCCCTGAGCATCATGTTGTTATGGTCCATTAGGTCACGAAGCGTGGACGGTGGGGCCATCACTAAACACGGGAGCAGTACTTATATTGTAAGAGACGTTATCGACACAATATTAGTATATATGGACATTGTATTATAGTTCAACATATGGTATAGTTTAACGTATAGTTAGACGCAGGACGAGAGAGTCTCGAGTTCAGTAAAAAGAGAGCTAGTGTCTAACTATGAAAAAAAGGAGAGAGCAAGGAAGAAAAAACGAATTGTAAGGCAATGGACATCGCAGTATTATTACTGGAGGGAGACCGTGTTGGTAAGTTAAAGAAAAAATAAAAAAAGGGGGGGGCTTAGCGCTTCATAATGGAACCGTGGGATATGGTCTCGTTCGATGAGCTTGATCTGATAAGCGCCGCAACAGTGCCTTATTGATCGCTGTAGGAAGGGTATAGTAATTGAGAGGTAGTTGAAAGGGAGTAGGTTACGAATGGTCAAAGTAGATCAATAGGACGGTGTATAGTTAAAAAAGTTATAATTCTCTTCTTGGAGAATCTGGGTCACCCCTAATTTAATGATCTTGTAGTTTGAGTATGTAAAAGAGATGTAAATTGTAAATGCCTAGATTGTGTATCTTAAATTTAACGGTAAGTGGTGCGGGTAGAATAAAAGGTAGGTTTCTATCTCTGTAGTATCTGGGCTAGCCGTAGTTGGAGTATTTTTGTAGGTTCAGCACTTGTCTTCTTTGGGGACAGGTCAAGTTGTGGTTATAATTGGTCATGCATCCATTAGTCTTGCTTCTACATGTTGACTTGGTCAATCAATGCACCCGCAAGTATTGTGCG